ACTTCCTCCCTGTGCTTTTTCCATTCTCCCTTTGTCCCAGGTTTAGAGTAGCCCTCTCTGACTCCTGCACAGGAGCAGCAGGTATCCTAAGGGTTTTTCATGAGGACCCATCCATTCCAGTGGCACTGGCAGTAACAGCACTGCTGTTGTGCCTGTGCTGCATGGGTCAGCCCTCTGGCTGCTGGCAGCCATCTCCTCGAGAAGAGAATGAAATCCAAGTGGCAGGGTAGGCACCTCTGAGGAGATAGCTCCTAACTGTTCCCACAGAGCTTGAAAAAAGAGGTTTGACGGATTTACAGAGGAAAATGGCTGAGAAGGGATTGATAAACACACAGAGAGATCTAACTAGTGTGTCCCATCACTCCGAATAGCTGATCATAGCGAAAGTGCTTCAGGGCAGTGTCGGGAAGAATTTGTTGATGTGAACTCGTGTCTCCCTGAGAGAATCATGCTGTTTCGGGGAAGGAACCGTCCAGAGAGGGTTGTCGTAAAGAGGAATGCAACAGTGGGGTGGGCATTTGTCAGGAGGAGCTGGAGAGATGATCACCAGTGCTTTCTGAAGGCAGAGTTGTGAGGATGCCAGCTAGGACTTGATAGCTAAGCTTCCTCACAGCCACAGTGTCAATACAAGCTTCCTTCCCCTTGGTGCCAGTGTTTGCAGCAATAAGCTCTCGATGCCAGCTTGAATCCCAGGCAGCAGAAATTCCCCAGTGCAGCTGGGAATCTCCCGCATCTCCCATGCTTAGACTACACAAACATGACCATCCACAGAGCAGTCAGCTCTCTGTTTAGAGGCTCAACTGATGGTATCTGGACTGTTGTGAACTATCTATTGTAGTGCCCTCAGTGCCAGCAACAGCTCAAGAAAGGAGAGCACACATGCCTTCTTCAGTGACCTCTGTAAAGATGTATCTGTCAAGGGCCAGGGTGGCTTGGGTCACTTTTAATCAAAGATATAATGGTAATATCAATTGCTATTCAAAAAGTCTGGAAGAGTGTGAGCATCTGAATGGGAGCTGCATTGAGTATATCCTGCCTTATGTGAACAAGTGTACTGAATTGCATTAAATACCTCCTTAAAATACTGCTTTGACTTACTTTGATTCACTTAAAATACCATATGCATCACTGGGGGAGCTTTTTGCAAGAACTGATTCAGGAGGAGAACTTTAACGAGAGTGGCTGTGCATGTAGTTGTTCCTTTACATGGAAAATGCCAGTGCTGAGGGAGGTGAATAATTTTTTAATGTCCAGTTTTACCTTGACATTTGCTTGGGCATGAACTCAGTTGAAAATGCATGTATTGGTGCTGTAATGTCATGTTGATACCCAGAAGGACATAATGTTTGAAAGGATGTTTCAAACAAATTTGATTAGTAGATATCTTGTACCTTCTGATTTTCGATTATTCAAGCTATTCTCCATGATAGCTATGGTCAAATTTAATGTTTACTGATTGCCAGCAAGTGAAAAGATCTAAAGCTGCAAAGCATCCAAATGAACATTTCCATTGTGCTTTGAAGCTGAGAACTAGAAAATTATCTGTAAATGTGAGAGAAAATTAGACATACACCAAGATTTCCTTTTCTGAAGCTTTGAGAATATTTGCTTTCCTCTCTTTTTAGGAGCAAGGTCTCTATCTCATTAAAAACTTTCATCCAAAACTCATCTGAATTGAGCAGAATGCAGGAATTTGTGGGCGCTGAAGACCTTCTCTAGCTGTTTAGCAGTTGCCACTGAGAGAATGGCAGGTAAAGTGGTCAGTGCATCCTTTGGCTAGGAAAGGCCTCAGCCTTCACTGAATCAATCTTTTGGAACACTGTTTACAAAAGCTTTGGTAAACAAGCTGTGTTTGTGCGTGTCTCTTACACTTTAAGACTAACAAATTGAGATGAACTGCAGCAGATCTGTGAAGGCTGGGCACGCATACACAAGGGCCTGAGTTGATTTATCTTGATGTTTGGTTGAATTCTTTGCATTTTGGGTCCCTTCCGTAACCTTTTCACCTCGTTTTTTTTTAAGGTGGCTGCCTGGCTGTTACAATTTATCATGAACGCATCTCACTTCACTTTTGGCTCCTCTGACGGAAGGAACAGCCGGTCTCTGGGAGGTCAAAGACATTATTTTCCCTTCGTCTTTCTCAGTTTCCAGCACATATTTGTCACTTTGAAAAAGCATGAATTCTGGATTTGATGCACTTTAATTGATTTCACCCTCAACAAGTCCAACTGTCCATCAACCTTCCCTTTTTCTTTCCTTCCCTCCCCTCCCCCTTTTTCATTTCTTTCCTCTGTCCCTTTACTTTGTGACTGATGTTTTCACCCGCCTGCATGCTGAAGCTGTTGCAAAGCCCATGACCCCATCAAGCCTTACTGTCACTAGCCATTTCTCTCATTTTCCTCATCTTCCAAGTTGAACTTTGGATATTGAAGAATGAAATCTTATAGGAGCACTGGTCTTGTAGACTCTTAGTAATGTGTTCTTTGTCTGAGTGGCTGCTGGCAGCTAGTTAAATTTGGCTGATAGTCCACTTATAGTCTGCTGTGCAAATTTGAAAGTGAGAGAATTCATAATTAGTCCTCAATAACAATACTGATATTGTACTAAGGCAGAGATAAGATATCATCTCTTCTTTCCTTATGGAAATATATATACCCCTGCATGACACAGTTATAAATACAGTTGTATAAAATAGTCGATACACAAATGAGGCACTGTCACAATGTTTCTTGCTTGTTTTGTGAATTCACAAGGCATTAATGGCTTCCCTGGGTCCTATTCAACATAACCTTGGGCACAACCAGGGATGGGGTACCCACACTCCCACCCTTTCCTCACAGCCCTCTGAGTAAAGAATTTCCCCCTAACATCTAATTTCAGTCTCCCTTCTTTTAGTTTAGAACTAGTCCTCCTCCTATCGCTATCAGACCACACTAAAAAAAAAAAAAAAAAAAAAAAAAAAAAAAAAAAAAAAA